GCTTTGTTTGCACTCTATCAGTATGGAGGGCTTACCCATAACACGTGTTTTAAAACCTTAATTGAAAGCAATTGAATTTCTTACCATGGATTACAGTTCTACAAACACAAAGGATTCTGCCATGAGTATTAGAAAAATAAGCTGTAACAACAAATACCTTTATATAGGTACCAAAAAGTACAGGGCGAGGTTCTAACATTTTTGAGTTATTAATTTTCAATCAGTTTAATTACAGCTCTTATATTTTATATGTATACACTTAAATCTTTAAAGGACATTTAGCTAGTTGCCTTCACCACAAAAAAAGTGATCCAATCATAACTGAGTCCCAAGTATCAGCATCTTACACCTGTGAATCCTCCTGTTTCAACAGCAAAAATCACTAAGAGATATACAGGACTGACTTTTTAAACATTGACTTGAAAGGGAGAGATTAGGTTAATTCAGTTTTACATTCAGTAGTAACACTCCAGATTTTTGTTCTGTTTTCTGAGGGATGAGAAAAAAAGAGACTGTTTCTTTGGGACTTTAATGCAGTTTGTGGAAATAAACACTGGAGATTGAGTTTTGTTTTGTTAATTTCAGATAGATCATAGGAAGGCAGTAAGACCTTTGTAGTAGTTCCAAATCAAGCACCACTGATTTTAAAACAATGAAATGTACAGCTATTATGAAAAAAAAAGAATACCAAACCTTCCCCCCCCAGAAGAGTTTAAAAAGAAAACATGCCAGAAAACTACAGTAACATCAATGCCAATTAACAATCTTTAGTTATATTAGGACTTCAGTGAAAAATTTTAGCTATTTTCTTAACATTTTTTTTCTTTTTTCCATTGTCTGTCTGTAATTGCAAAACTAAGGGAAAACTATATCAATACCAGTACCTCAGTGTAATTCAATAGACCGAGAACATGGTAAATTATTAAATTATGTCTTTTGCATATTAGCAATATACAAATGTCTGCAATACCACAGCATTTCACCTATACTCTAACACCTACCTTCATTTCATACTGACAGAAAGTAAATTCAGTAAATCAAAGACAAAGTTACTAACCTCCTGCTCACATCGGCTCAGCTTTGGCTTACTACACGCAATACACAGGATTTAATGCGACTTTAGTGGTTTTTAATACATTTTAAAAAGCTGAAACTGGGGCCAAACTAGCCTTACTAACAGTACACACCCAAAAAATCACTTCTAATTTCCATTAATCCAAATGTTCATCCTTTAAAATTAGTGATTTCCCTCAGACTACTTTCTTCTCCCAGTCTATAAACATATGATGTGCTCAGGACCACTGTTAACAGCCTGGGAAAGGAGAAAGTACAGTGGGATAGTGTTCCTTCCACTTGAATTATTTGTAGTTTTGATTCTCCATTGTTACCGTATACATCCATGCTTCAGGTCACTCCCCAACTATTAAATCCATGTGGACTCATTGAGATCCTCAGAATGTCCTTCCTATCTTAAAAACAATCCCAACATAAGAATAAGCAAACATGCTCCCCATATAGAGTCTCATCCTCCAGATGTTTTCATATAGGCATAACTCCACTCAATGTAGCTCCACTGAAGCTGAAAGAATTACCAATTGTAGTAAAACTAAGCAGAATTGCAGGAGTACCTAGGATGAGTATCTTTGAACAGGTGAACAAGAAATAGGAGAGGACATCTTTGTGTCCTGAAAAGCAGCACAGAATAGCAGCCTACAGGCCTTACACTCCCATTTCATTCCAAGATAACTATAAAGTATTATGAGATATAACAAAAATCAGTGTACTAACAAAAGATGCCCGTTTTTATGCTTCTCCACAATAATACCATATTATCAGTGGTCTACAGAGCCTCTGTATTAATCCAAATAAGAAAAAACAAATAGGAATTGTAAGAACACTTGGGTACCATAAACACATTTGTAGCATGGAACTAGTATTTCCTAAAAGGTACTTACAGGCATTTTATTTATTTTGCTTTAACTATTATAACAAATAACAGTAGTGCAGCAATAAATATATCTGTACATCACAAGTTGTTAACTTTATATAGAACAAAAAGCACTGATTAAAAGCTCTAAGTTCTCTACTTGAATACTTGACTTTATAACTCGATACAGAGACAAAATACAGTACTTACAAAAAAGAAAAACATGCTTCCAAATTCAGTCAGTAACAGGGATTTTCTAAACTGCAACTGCTACCATTTTTTATTAAAAGGAAAATCCTACTCTGTCCCTTTTCTAGGAAGCAGGGATAGAAAATAACAGTTTAAAAATATTGGGGATGTTACTACCACCTATAATATCCTGTAAAAACACAGGAGGCTGACTTGACTCTGAACATTCTTCTCTGAGTCCCCTGAGAGCCAAGAAAGGCTCTAGTAAGTGCTACCTTTGATTATCTGATTGTTAAGAGTTTTACACAGCAGCTAAGTGCAAAGCTTTTTTTCATTTTTATAGGGTTTAGCCAGCCTATAAGGCACTTCAACTACACAGTACTGCACCACAATACACAAAGTTATTAAAAAAAAGCCTTTAAACCAGCTAACATTTATTGTTAGTGAAAAACTCAGAATACCGTTTCATGTTATCAAATGCTGCAGTATGTCTAAAGTAAGTCAGTTATAAGTAAGTCAGTTTTAAAAAAAAAAAAAAAAAAAGAAAAAAGTTTATTTCATCGTTGTGGTTATAGGAAAAACTACCATACCTGTAACAATAAGAAAATTAGTAGGTGTTACAATGCCTAAATGATTGCTTCCAATGAAACTTGCACTTTGGTTTCACTGAAGTCTTCCAAACAAGGTACAAGGCACACTTAGTGTAACAATCTTACCACCTGAGTGGTTAATGGCTAAATTTTAATGAAAAATTAGTTATTACTTAAATAAAGGTTAATGAAAGATAACTCACCACCATCCCTCTCTCTAACTCTGTGAGTATGCACACTTTTTGCTTTACTGTGCCCTGTGTTGTCACCGTATTTGTTTTCAGGGCTATCAGAGCGCCGCAGCATTTTATTTGGTGGTGAAGGATCTGTGGCGTCTCGCATCTTGTCATGACGGTGATCACCACCACCGGGGTGACTCTTGGATGAGTACTTAAGAGCCTGCAACAGATCACAAGAGAATAGGCACTTATATTAGATGTGAACTTACAGAACTGATGTTAAAATGTAATTTCTAATTTTTAGATCTCTTTCCGAAACACGTTTTGAAGTTAATTAATTTTCATTTCCCATTTAAACAATCAGTGTAAGTTTTTCTGATTTTAATTACCTACATTAAAGCAACAAGTTCTGTAATTAGAACTCAAACCATTTTCTCCCACTATTACATCCAACATAACACTTGCTCTTAAAAAAAAACCTAATTTCTCTATCTTTTCACTGATAGACTACACACTTTCAACAGTAAATGGGCCACAGAACTCCTATACTTCTGGGAGAAGCACAAGCCTCCACTTGGTATTAAGAAAATAAACAGAAAGTTAAAATGAATCAGTGTGAACTCTGAATACGCCCTCCATACTGTAGTCAAGGCCACTCATTTTCACCACTACCCTGAACTTCTGTAAGGTTTTTTCAGTACTAGCAACCCTGGAGCAAATGTAATAAAAAAACTCCCTCGAATTCTGGGAGCCAAAAACATGTAACATGATGATTCATTTTGAAATATTTACCAAAAATTACATATTCTGCCTCACTTTGACTTGCTTGATTTTACACTGTGAGCTTCTGAGTGGCAAGTGTTTACATTTACATGAACTGTCACTGACAGCTGCCCTGGACTGCCAGATTACACTTCACAGTGATACAAATACACAGAAATGTAATAAAACAGTTCAATTCTGTGCCCTAAGGAGAGCAGTACCACAATATATGGCATTCCCCAGATTCTCACTCTGATAATTATTTTTTTTTTTTCCAGTAGACACAGCAGAGCAATACAGTATCTACCTTACAGAAATTGAGGTTATTATCAGCAGTTTAAGGATCTGATGGTTTCTGAACATGCCTAGCAGCTGGCAACTGCAGAAATTAAGCCTTACTGGCAACCCCAGTTATTCAGGGTCTAAAACCATGCCCCGCTCAGGTTACAGTCCACAGCAGCAGTTTTGGGGAGAAGAAAGGACTTGGGGAGGGGGGTGGGGGAAGAACAAGATGCCTTTTGTTTTTAAAAGGAAAACACTCACCTCCCCCTGGATCTCCACTCCACTGCAAGTGACCCCGGCTCGCTCCCCCGCCCCTCCTACCCTCTCCGACTCCTAGGCCCAAGCCCTACACAGGTCGCACTAGGCCTCTCCTCCTCGCCCCGGCCCCGCAGGCCTCGGAAGAGCGCCGGAGCCCCGTTCCCTCCGCCTGCGGCCGTTGCCGCCCCCCTCCCTCCGCTCCCCCCGGGCCCGAAACGGCGCCGAGAGACGGGACCGGGCCGTCTGTTGCACCGCGGCCTGCGGCGGCGGCCGAAGCCTCCGCTGGAGTAGCTCCCCCCCCCACTTCTCCTCCCCTGCTCCTCCTCCTGGGCCTAGCGGCCGGCGCTTGAGGTACCTGGTAGGGCTGCGAGTCCCCCCTGCGGTCGTGACAGCTAAAGAGAAAGCGAGAGAAAGAGAGAGACGTTAGCGAACAACCGTTACCGGCCGCCGGGGAAGGGGGCCCAAACATGGCGGAGGGGAGGGGGAGACCCCGCGGGGCCAGGGGCCAGAGGAGGAGGAGGAGGAAGGGATTTACCCATCACTGAGTCTCTGCTGTTTCCTCGCATACATTACCATCAATGCCCGGCCTGTGTGTGTGAGTGTGAGGGGACCAGGAGGGGACGGCCGCGGCCGGGCCACAGGCGCCGAGGGGGGAGGAGGGGGAGGCAGCGCTCCGCCTCGCCGCCGACCGGGGGCGGGGGGGGGGGGAGGGAGGGAGGGGGCCCCCCGCTGCGCCCGCCGCCACCGCCGCCGCCGCCGCTCCTCCAACTACATCCGGGAAACTCGGGCGACGCCGCGCTCGGTTAACGTCGGCTCTTTTCGGCTCTTTCCGACACGCTCCGTCCCCTCTGTCCCCTTTGCTCTCGGGCGACTCTGCCTTCGGGAAACATCGGCTGCCTCCGCCGAGCCCAACGCCCTTCAGTTCCTCCCTTCGGCAAACATCGGCTCGTTCCGTAACTCCCCTCCCTCTTTCCTCCTCCTCCTCCCATCGGCTGGCCCGCCTCGCCCGCCGCTCCCGAGCGCTACCTGTCTTCGGAAAACATCGGTTATTTCCGTAGAGATGTTGTCACGCTCCGCGCCACGTTCGGAAGCGCTCGGCTATTTCCGTCACCCCTCAGCCGGGCGGCTCCCAGGCGCTGCCGGCCGGAGCAGCCGTTGGCCGGGCGCGGGCGGCTGATTGGCCGAGGGCAGCGCTCGCCGGGCCGGGCCGAGCCGTGAGGGAGCCGGGCCGAGCCGTGAGGGAGCCGACAGGGCGGGAACGCCAGGCAGGTGGGGGCAATAGGGGGAATTGCGAGAGTAAACGGCGGGGCGGGGGTGAGCGGCGCCCAGCCGCCAGATAGGAAAGGGAAGGTCTCCTCTTACCTACCCCCTCCTCCCCTTCCGCCCAGGGACTTGATGTATAGGCAGGAGCCATTTTGTGTGCGGCTTGTCTTCTGCGAGGAAGCGCTCGGCGGTGAAGAGGCTGTTAAAATGTCCCTGGGGAGGCGGCGGCCGCGCAGGTCGGGCCCGGCCCCTGCGGCGGCGCCGGTTTATTTCGCGGCTCCCCCTGAGGAAACTCCGCCAGGCCGCCCCGGCCGCTGAGGGAGCTGAGGCGCTGGCGGCAGAACGGCCCGGGCGGGGTGAAACGGCCGCCGGGGGTGGGTTGTGGGGGTGTGAGGGGCGCTAACGGCCGCCAACGGTCGCCTCCGGCCGTCAGGCAGCTCCTCCGCGCCTCGGTAAAATTTTCGTCGGCAACAGCGCCAGGGCGGTGTGGTTCAGGTGGCCCCGGGGCTCTCTGAAGTGGGTGCCAGGTGCTCGGTTTGCCAGGAGGTTCCTCTTCATCAGAGGCAGAGTGCATGCTGCTGCTGGTGATCACTGCTGAGCCGCCTCCTGAGAAAGGGTCATTTGGTTATTTCTGACCAAACCCTCGAAATCTGAGGTACAAAGCATCCTATATTGAGATGTTGTAAAATATAATAGAATTTCTCGATACCGGAGTTGGGCACTGCTGTGGGGGTATCATAGGAGAGACCAGCTTTCAGTAAAGGTATAGTGTAGGTGCCAAATATTGTCCTGCCCCCTTCCTGCAAAGGGAAGAGATGTGGCACAACTCAGAACTAGCTTTTTAACCTTAAGCAAAGCGTCTTTCCCTGTGGCTCAGTCTGTGATAGCATAGCATTATTCATTATAACTCTCTTACAGAATTTTTCTTTACATTTTCTATTTGGTTTTGTGTTTTTTTTTTTTTTTAAACAGTGCAGAAGGCTGTTGCTGAGAGGCAACTTCAGGGAGCAGTGACAGAGCTCAGGGAGGATGACTCAGCAGGGAGCTGTTCTTCAGGGTTATAATAACGAGCTGGTGAAATGCATTGAAGACTTGTGTATGCAGAAAGAAGAGCTGAACAAACAAATCCAGCAAGCAGAAGAGGAAAAAAATAAACTCCAGCATGAAATCCAAGTCCTGAATGAACAATTGGAGTGTGTATGTGAAAACCTGGCCCAAAAGGTAGCTTCGCGGAATGAGCTTGATAAAATTCTTGCTGAAACTGAAGCTGCTTACATGAAGATACTGGATAGTTCTAGAACTTTGCTTAACGTCTTGAAGAAGGAAGTGGGAAGCTTAAAGCATATGCCAGAACTGAAAACTAATGTAACGTGAAACGGTCAAATGTTTGGACTCCACAGTGCTAAAATTCCACTAGGTGAGAAATGTGGTTAGCCACAGAACCTTGCACCGACAGTATAAGCAGAGAGGGATTTTCTTCCAACCTTTCTGTATGTTTTATTACTATTTTTAAATGCACTAGAAAATAGATGAAATAAAGTTGCTGTTTAAAAAAATCTAATTACTTAAACACTACAAAACTATATTGCAGATAGGTAGTTGAGGCAGATGTGAGGCTGTCAATTTTGATATGCTGATGCTTCAAGGCTTTTCTGAAGATGGGGGGGGAAAAATCGCGTTTTATTGGTTGGCTTTGGATGGCTACCAGTGAATTCCTGTTTGAAAACTAGTGGATGCAAGCAATCAGATACTGCTTCTTTTCACTTTACAAATGCTTAGGCTTTACTGTTAGGGACCAAATAGAAATTAACTATGTAGCCTCCTCTAGGAGTTTGGAGTTCTGCTTGATGCATGCAATGCATGCACAAAGACAGCCCCTGTTTACAATCGTCACTTGTCTGGAATAATGGAGTGGTAAGGTGACTCGTTCACATGTCTTTTGAAGCTATACTCAAAACCCCTTGCTTAGAAAGGAGGCATACTATGGTGAAAGATAGATTTTGGTGCAAGTGCGTGCCTCCTGCCTGCAGGGCACTGCTCTGCAGGCAGCTACACCATGTAAGCTTGGACCGACTAATCCACTTATGCATAAGGAAAAGGTTTCTGTATTTCACTGGTGTCTAGAAGTCCTGAAAAAGCTACCGTGGTTCAATCAGAAATCCAAAGAGTTTAAATACATGGCCAAAGAAGATAATCTGAACTAAAAGCCAAAAATGGAATTTCTAGAAACCTTTTTAGTGCCCTTTAGCTCTATACTAATCTATTAAATAATTGTAATAAGATTGCAAAGAATAGTGAACAACCTGGAATTAAGAGAAATAAATACAAATGAAAGATGAAAGTAGGAGATGAGATTAGAGGTAGTTTGCAGCTGTCAGATATTCTTACAGGTGATGCTAAAGTAGAACATAGTTTAGAAATCAGGGAGGAGGTAACAGCATGGCAGAAACCTGAATTTAATCCCATTTTCTATTTCTAGTAGTTACTAAACCTTTGTGTATGTGTACGTACGCATGCATTTTGTCCTGCTCATTCATGTTTTACAGCAGTAACATCTGATAGCCAAATCTTCATTCTATACCAATTAGCTAAATTGAAAGAAGTGCAATTATAATCTCCCTACTTGATAACTGTGTCTCTCAGGTGCAAGTATAAAGAGTATATAGATGTGAATAGTTTCAGTAATAGCTCTTCAGCAATAGCATGAAACAAATTTTATGTTCTTCTGATTGTGAAACTACATCAGGGTGTAGTGTGACGGAGCTAATTAACAATTTACTTGTATAGCATTTCTGCTGACTTCCCTCGAGTAATACTGAGGTGATAAAATTTGATAATCTATGGGGCACTGCTATCATTGCAATACTGCAGCATTCAGGACCACCTTATTTATATTGAAGTGAAACACAAAAATGTTGCTATTTTTTAGTAGCAAAAACGTAATTTATTTGACTGGATGTTTCTTGGCATTTTCTCTTCCATTAATCTGGTGGTAGTAACTAATATACATCAAAATAGGACGAGTCAGGAAAAGGTATTAACTGAAGAGCAATGACTTTTTTTACAGTTGCATATGTAAACTGCTGCTTCTTTTATCTAAAAGGAAACTTGAAATTCTCTGGAAAAAAAAAGTATCATAGAAAGGTCATTTATAGAGAACAGTACAGTTAATGTCTTGTATTTGCCTTGGACAACAATTACAGGTTTGTTTGCCTTAGAATAATCATAAATAATGCCTCTTCTTGCTCTGCTTCAGCTGTTAAGTTTTAAGAGAAGCCTTCTAAGTTTTTGAAGCAGTCTATTTCATGACCATTATTACATCTAAGTGTAGCTATTGCAGTGTCAAAACTGAAATACTGGAGATGTTTGAATTTTTTAAGTTACAAAACTAAGGGAAAATATAACTGTTGGCTAGTATCTACACACACTAGGGCTTCCCAACTTTCAAATAAAAAGTTGAAAAGTTGTTAAAGTTCCATTCAGTGATCCCAGTCCATACAATTTCTGTTTAAATTCAGATTCAGGAATGACAAGCAATAATACCATATCTCTAGGCCTTGCCTATTTGTAGAATAACTCCCAAGTGTGGCAGTCATTGTGAAGTAAGTGCACCTGCAGAGTTGTTACTCAATAATAGCTGTTGCCATTCTATTCTGTGTTAACCCTGATTAATTTACCATGTCCTTTTACTGAAGTGGTAAACCTTTTTCACTTTTTTTTTTTTTTCAGGTAGTATAAATCTTGACATAAATAGCTTTTCTTAAACAGCTTCAGTCTGTTTAGAATAAAAGATATGCAAACTAAATTAATACATAGTATTGCTAGAAAAGAAGTGGTAATTTGCAGATTACAGCAGCTCTGTAGAGCTGGTCTGCAATGGAAAGTTTGCATGAAGTAAGGCAGGTTATAAACTTAAAGCATTGTACTTATTCCTGACTTAATTTTTGTATTGATTTTATATGACTCTCTGGGTTAGATCCAGTAATTTACTTGAGTGCTTACAATCTAGGAGCCTTAATGACAAAAGTTCATGTTACAGAATTGTAGTACCAATCTGAAGTGCTGTGTTGGGTGTCTTGTAGTTTATTTGGTATGTGAGGAGACACAGGTTTTAAAACTCCTACCTGTGCTTGATTCAAAGCTCCAGTGAAATGCATCTTGAGTACTGCTCTGATTTCCTGAACTTGTGTAGTAGCACCTCACCTGGTTTGTAAGTAACAGGAAGAGAGATGATGATTCCCAGTTTTTATAGGAATACTTCTTAAATATGTGCCTAGTGTGTACAACTCTCACAATCAAAAGGTTTTTCAAAACATTGGAGCGTTGACTCTACCAAGTAAACTAAGTTTATTATGTATGATGGAGTTTGGTGGTTGCCAAAGAAACTGCTTGTGAGTGGTATGTTTAATTTTCTGCGTAGAGGTGGTGACACGAACCACTAGGTGAAGTCCCGTATACAAGCAGTCACTTACAATCCATCACTGTCTCTGCAGAGATGCTTATCCTGCAGTTCAGGTACCTTGCCACACGTGCTTTCTGCTAATCACCTTACAGGAGTGGATATGAGTAAATTGGGATGGGTCCTAATTTTTGGGGTGGAGAGCAACACAAACTGACATGCTCAGCTACACAGTGGGCAGTTCCATCGGCATCTGAGCCTTCCGTTTGCTGGGGAAGGGTAGCACCAGGCTCACGCAGGATGCCTTGCCGTTGTTTCCTCCCCTGGTAGCTCTCCTGTAAATATTAATTGGTGAACTGCTTGCATTTTATAAAGAACCCTAAGCCCTGTCAATGTATTAGATGCACGCTGTGTATATGTCAGATTGACCTTGGAGAATTTAGGCAGAGGGATGGCAATTTTTTTGGTGTTTAACTTGGTGAATACAAGAGATTTGTTTCCTTGGATTAGAAGGTCTTCAGGCTGGGAAGACTAGGCATCTTCAAACACCCGAAGAATTGTCTGTTCAAACAACAACGCAAGCTATAATCTAAACCTGGATGATTTGGTCTTGGGTTGCAATTTCAGAATTAAGTATCTCAGTTCTGTCTAGGTCTTGTGGTATAGGTGTGACACTACAAATGGATTAAGCTAAACTGGAACAAAGTACTCAATTCTGAAATAAGACATTCAGAAGATTGTTAGCAAAAGGATCAAATGTCTACAGTTAATTCATCATGTGGACGGGTCCTGCGCAGAAGACCAGTATCATCTCCTTAGATGATTTTGTGTGTTAGGAGAAATTTGAGTGAGAAGTTGTGAGGAGTTTTTTTTGTTGTTTGGTTGGTTTTTTTATTCTCTACTGGGTAAAGGATAGATTGGCCTTCGGTTTAGTTTATGCACTAGTTGCTTTGTCACCCACAGTTGTGTTACCGGGCGGTGGGAGTCAACTGGGTAAAGGATAGATTGGCCTTTGGTTTAGTTTATGCACTAGTTGCTTTGTCACCCACAGTTGTGTTACCGGGCGGTGGGAGTCAAGCACTGTGGCCACTTCTCAAATGACTGGGTTTTTTTGTTGTTTTGTTTGTTTTTTAAACAGGGAATGAGTCTTTTTTGGAGTTTTTTTTGCCTATTACTGCTTTATAAATGTGTCTTTGATTTTGGTTGCCCCAGAGTAGTCCTTGATTGTTGTCTTCCTCGATTGATTTTCAGATGAAGTTTTGTTTAATATCTAGCTGTAAAAAAAACCAGATGTGTGCAGGTGATACAACTGACATGTTAGCTATTAATAAAACGTTATGGAGAGGTTTGGTCTTGCAGAAAAGGGAGCTATATATTATTTGGTCATTCATAGATTTAGTTTATGGGATTTGTGTGAAAAGTGGTTCAGTGTTGTAGTTTAATTTCACAAAAATACCATGTTAGAAGATATGGGGCTAGTAAAACGCTTTAATTTTGTAGTGGTTTCAAAAGTAGTTTCACAAGATCTCGTGGGGTGGAACCATCTGCATTTTTTGTCTGTTTGTGCGAGACTCGACTATGCTGCAGTAACCACTATGGTAAATTAGAAATTCTAGTATGAACTTGGATATCTTATTTAGCAGCAGCATTGCAAATGATGGTGTCAAATCTTTGCGTTCTGACTGTAGCTAGCTTGTGGCTTGCTACATCATTCAAAGTTGGTGATGTTTGTACTGATGCTTAATTTGAACATCATAAGTGGGAAAATGTTACTCATGGAATAGAGTTTGTTGGTATCGGAGGAAAATAGGCACCTGTAGACAGAGATTGTGTTCAAGAAAAGACATTTGAGAGAAGTCAGTCTCCCTCTGGAGGTGGGATTGATTGTGAGTCTGCTGACTGCGATGGGAGCTTTGGTTTTGTTCACACCTCACTTCAAGGCATATTAAGTGGGGTGGGATGTTGCCCTCTGCTTACCACCACTCGTGTTTCATAGAATGTATGTACTTGGCTCTGAA